GAGAGTAAACGTTTAAGAACAGTCCCAACCGGGGATTATTCAAGACTTTCTCCTAATGAGAAAGCCTTGAACGGGTATCTAGGCATATGATGATGCAAGCATTTCTTATATTTATTGTTGTATTTAGTTTGTCATTATATAATACACAAGTCTAATAGCTAGCATGAAAAAACTTCTATTAAAACAATAATGAAGAGAAAGAAATATTTATAGCTTAGACAAGTTTATAATTCATACTAATACTTCCCACTTGAGCTAAATATGTATAATCTTCAAGCTAAACTTGAACTTTAATTCACATACGAACCTATAAAAACAAACAAAAAAAGCTTATAAATAACAATAAAATGGTCTCTTTTGTAGCATGCATCATATTACCTCCAAGGCTCCAATTCTTTAGTGCCCACCCACAATATGTGGGTAGCTATTACACTTTCTGTTTTCAGATGTTTTAACTAATTCTCAATAGTTTTACTTAATCCAATTTTTCGCAAACCATTTCTATTAGGTTACCCCTCTTACCCTACAATTATATATTGTTATGCTGAACTAATTGAGATAGAATATTTCACCAATAAAGGTATAGTATTCCACTATCACTACCAGGCTATAGCAACAGCCATCCAAGAAAAACAGCCTCACTGAGCTGCACCATGCACCACACAGTAGCACCTAAACACTAACGCCCTGCACCTTACCTTAATTAGCTAAAACACAATGCAAACCAAAACACTAACGCCCAGCACCTTACCAGAACAATGCAAACCAAAACACAAACAGCAAAAAATAAACAGCAGCCCAACACCTATACAACCCAGGCACAGCAAACCAATACACAAACAGCAAAGGGAAAATCCAGAAAGATGCACAGTACCTGAAACTCGCGCCTTAACCAACTGTGAGAGCAAGAACGTAGTTGTGGAGGGGGGGCAATGCTTGTCTATTGACAAACCCTAGATTACAATAAACTTGTAATTACTAAATTGTAAAGCAAATCCACCAAAAACTCAAGAGTACGTAGGAATTGAACAATGGAGTAAGTAAAACCTAAAAATAACTTACCTTAATTAGCTTGAAGCTGTTTCAATGGAGGGATGCATATGGAGTACTACTTCAATGGAGGATGAGAAACTCGCAGCCCTTCAACGGAAAACGAAGACCGTTGAATGAAGAAGCTAGCAAGAGAAGAGAAGAGAAGAGAAGAGGGAAAAATTGAAGAGAAATATCGACTTAATTCAATGGCACAGTGCGTGAAGTGAAGAATTAGAGCAAAAAGAAGAACGTTATTAAATTAACCCAGGTTTTCTTTTTTAAACATGGCACCGGTTTGAATCGGTGCAAAACAGCATAGTTGGCACCAGTTTGAACCGGTGCTAATTAAAGAAGTTGGCACCGGTTTAGGTGAGAACCGGTGCCATTTGATTAATGATTATCAACCTAATCCCATGATTATAACCTCTAAACCCCCGTGTTTTTTTCTGTCTCATAAATCTTAATTGTTTAATTTTGTTGTTTTTTTACTAGTTAATTTAATTAAACCCAATTAAGAAAAGTGAGAAAATTTCTATAATTAGTTTCCTTTTTTTTCTCTCTCTCTCTCTCTCTCTCTCTCTTTTTTCTTTTGTTTTTTGGGTGTTATTTTTGCAGAGAATAAGGTAAAAAAAGGTACTTCATTTGCTTTTATGAGCTGTTGATACACCAAATTTTAATGATGACAATGCTTTTCTTGTGAGCAATTAACTGACTTTGTTGATTTTTGGAGAATCTAAGGTTACTAAAGTTAGTCGTTAATTTTGTTGTAAATGTTCTGGTTATTTCCTATTTTAGGGTGTTTTTTGCATAAGTTGTGTTGTTACTAGTGTTGCTGATTGTTGTATTATGGATACATTATTCAGCTTTGGGTGTTGAATAGGGGCTATTATGGACGAGGGTTCAAAGAATTCGGACAAGATGACCGGAGGGGCGGGCCGAGAGGAGAAGATCTTGGTGTTGGTGAGGTTAAGGCCCTTGAATAACAAGGAGGTTTCCAAGAACGAAGTAGCTGATTGGGAATGTATTAATGATAGTACCATTTTGTATAGAAATAGTCTTCAAGAACGCTCTGGACTTCCCACGGTTTATTCATTTGCTAAGGAAAATTTTAACTAGTAGATTAGTTAAACATCGTGATCTTATATATGTTGATGCATGATGCTCGTGTTTATGTCCTTTGTGAGGTATAGGATTGCAAGGATATTGTGAATTTGTGATGGATATAATTTGTAGATGAGTAAAAATTATAACATGTCCAATATATGATTATGATATTTTGCTCATGCATTTCTCGAACTTTGACATTATAAGTTGCAATATTGTTGGACAAGTGACTACATTGTAATTATAATGGTTGTTAAGTGAAGAACTCGTGATATTGTTTCTCATTCTAATTCAGTGATGGATATAATTTGTGATGGATATTGTGAATTTGTGATGGATATAATTTGTAGATGAGTAAAAATTATAACATGTCTAATATATGATTTTGATATTTTGCTCATGCATTTCTCGAACTTTGACATTATAAGTTGCAATATTGTTGGACAAGTGAATACATTGTAATTATAATGGCTGTTAAGTGAAGAACCCGTGATATTGTTTCTCATTCTAATTCAGTGCATAAGCTTAAAACCATTTATCCAGTACTAGCTAAATCAGCGTGTTCTAAACAGTTGTCTTGATTCTAGCTTCTTAGTTTGGTCTTGTATTTTCTGTGTCTGGTGTTTGTTAAGCTAGAGCATTGCTTGAATGGCATGGTACACTCGATTTTTCGGGCGGTATGGAAGTAAAATAATTCCCAGAGAAGCTGGTGAAAGAGTTATGTGCTCAAATGAACTTTACAAAAAGAGGATATATCCTTGTATTGATCTAGTATGGTGATGTCATTCTCTCATTCGTTATGCAATGTTCTGATTCATATGACTACTCTGATTCATATGTTTCTATGGACTTAACTTAACACCCATTTGCCTATACTGTTAACATGTTTGTGTTGGGGGTAATATCTTTGATCTTATGACAAAGACTTCAAATAGATGCTTACATTCTATTGAGAAGATATGTTCTGTGTGGAGTTAAATGTATTTGATGACTTATAACTTGCTTGAGAAGTTGAAATCATATACAGCTCTGGAAGTAGTGTTGTCTTTTAAATGGTAGTTTTAACATTAAATTTATGTCCCACTCATATCTGAACAGGATTATGCATATCTAAAAGGTATGAAAAAGTGTTGGAAGGATTTCATTTGGCTTTTGTCAATATCTAGTTTGGAGAATCCTGTTTTCATGTCATGGAATTTAATAACATCTAAGTATATGATAGTGCTACTTGAACTGAATAAATATTCTTAAGTGATGTTCCTCTATTTCATATTGGTGTTGCATCAGGAGTTAATAATGGGATTCTAATTGAGGTAATTACCACTTGATTCCCCATATTGTGATTTATGTAAGAATAAATATGTGACGATGTAGCTGTGCCTAGGCTTCATATAACTTTCTGCAGTATATTAACCTTTTTTTTGGGGGACTTATGTAGCTCTTCTTAAAGTGATCATGGAACTTCAAGTTGCTCAAGAAGACGCGAGCATGATGGCAAGCCAAAGATGGAACTTCAATTTTGAGATGTGTGACATTATAGTATAATTTGAAAATACAAGCTAATTACTTATGCCTGCTCTTTTTCTCTTTGATGTAGTTTCAGACTCTTGCTTGTGAATTATGTATCATTTTTTGAATTAAACGTTTCTTTGATGTAACTTTTATTTATGTAATATTGCAGATCCTAGCTTTAGGATTGGTTGTCTGGGAAAAGTGAATATGGCATATGAGAATGACCGGGACTCGATGATTCGCTTCTATGGATTTGTGGCTAAGTGAGTTTTCTTTTTTTTTTTTTTTTTTTGTTTCTCTTTTTGTACTTCAGAATCACTAAATACTGATCTAGTCATGAGTATCTTGTCCAAGCTAACTTTTTATTTGTTGAATTCCTTAGAGTCTGCTAATCTAGGGGATAGAGTCTTATATTGCAGTATGTAAAGGGGGATAATGAAGTAAATCTTGCATATTTACCTTTTCGTTGTTACTTTCTTTCTCTTAGTGAAGTTGATAACCTGTTATATATGTATAATAGCTCTGTTAAATAATTTTTGTGGTGGCTTTGTCGGCTTACATTTAATTATAAGTATTGATTTATAAGTATTGTTCATTTGATTGTATAATTAGGGTTTAATTATTTAGGTTCTGAGTTGATTAATTAATTAGTGTTATTTTTGGGGATTATTTGCTTTAAATTCTGTAATTGACTTTGAAAGGGTCAAAACAGAAGTTCTGCAAACCATAAATTTGTTCCAAGTTCTTCCCAAATTGGTTGTCTTTGATCTCGATTATACTATCTGGCCTTTCTACTGGTATATACTTTCTTCACTTTTTTTTTGTTTTTATCTTATGATTTTCATTATAAAATCAAATTATTGGATTACAAATTACTCAAATCACGGATTTTGTTCTATAATTTTTCAATTTTAGTTATAATTCTTTCTCTATGCATTGATTCCCTCATTTTATTTTTAATATAATATTATTGGAAATTTAGGGAATGTTGGTGATACTTGCAAATTGCAAATTGTTAAATTCCTGACAATCTGATATTGTTGTTTCATTTTTTTCCAATTTTTTATTGTTTCATATGTTTGTTGCATTTTAGAGAAATATACACTAGTAGAAAAAATAAAATAGGCACCCCCCTTTAGCACCGGTTCTTGAAAACCGGTGCCAAAAGAAATGGGCGGGATTGAAAAATTCGGAGTTGGCACCGGTTCCAACCAAAACCGGTGCCAACCATTTAATTAGCACCGGTTCAAACCAGTGCCAACTTAGTTTTTTTTTTTAAAAAATAAGTATGACATAGAGTTGGCACCGGTTCGCCTTAAACCGGTGCCAGCTATGTTAATTAGCACCGGTTCAAACCGGTGCCATATTTGAGAAAAAAAACCCGAGTTAGGTTATTCGTGCGTTTTTCTTTTTCAATTCCTTTTCCTTTGTAACTTGCTTCTCCTTTCTCCTTCTACCTTTCCCCATTTTCCTCTTGACTCCACTACTTCCACCACTACACACCCCTTCCACCGCCACCACACTCTATCTTCATTCTTCACGGCATCAAGGCGATGTGACGGTGGTCGCGATTGGTTGTTGGATTTTTAGAGTTTCAGGTGGCAATTTGGTTGAGTTTTTGTTATTTTAGTTTTGAAATTAGGGCTTTGGTTGATTGTGGTTATGGGTATCCGATTTTTAGTTGTTTTTAGATGGATTTTTGGTTGTTTTTAGATGGATTTGTTGTGGGATGCAATTCCTTGGTATTTTTGTTGTGGTTTTGAATACCTGATTGGTTGAACTCTTTACTTTGGTCTACGCCTTGTCCTTCTTCGTTTGCTACCACCATCTCTCTCCTCTGCCCATCGTCCGCCCTCCGTCGCCGGTTCGACCTCCATCCCCACCTCCTCCGCCGCCGGACTCCAATGGCACTTCCACTTCCTCTGCTTCTCCTTCTCCTTCTCCTACCCCCGAGGAGATCTCTCGCCATGCTCAGCTCTCACTCGAGGTTCCTCTCTCTCTTCTTTCTTTTTCAATTCAATTCATCACCAACAACTCCTAACCTAACCTAATTTGTTGAATTTGTAAAGTTGTCAAAGAAGATCATCAACATCAGAGTAATCAGGAGGTTAGCATCCATGGGTCTTCCTAACGCTCCTGCCATCCGCTCCACTGCCTAGAAGGTTTTTGTCTCGCTTTCTATTCATTTCATACTTTGAGTTGATTACTTACTTAATCGGAATTGAAATACCTAAAAATATAAATTGCAATTGCAATTGGCAGCTTCTACTTGGGTATTTGCCCAGTGATCGAGCAATGTGGCCCTCTGAATTAGCCAACAAGAGGTCTCAATACAACCATTTCAAGGATGACCTCTTGATGTCTCCCGTATGTCCTCTTCTCTCTTTTCTTTTTTTTTTCTTTTTTTTGGTCTTTGTTTCCTTTCACTTTCTATTTTGCTTTGCGCTTCTTTCATGTTAATTATTAGTTTAATGATCAAATTTAGGGTGCATCAAAAACCACCTCTAATAGAACCTCTTAACAGATTATGTTTATGAAATTTTGTCTACTGTTTACCCTATTGTAAATAGTAGATATAGTCTCATAAGAGGAATCGTGGTGATGTTGTATTATGATATTATATGCATATATGGCTTTCTGTTGAGGTTGAGCATATGATATTAGGATCATTGTTCTAATGCTTTAGGTGATTCTAGTTGCTATGTTAATCATGAAGAAAAGTATACGCAACTTGTTGCTAAGCATTTTTAAGTTTGTGTTATGTTGTTATTGATTGACTGCTTTCTTATTTATGCGCCCTCTGCCATTGCATGAGGCTCTTGGGAGAATAAGTTAAGTGGCCTAATATTGTAATGTCAGGTTCTTGCTGAAAAAGCTTATCTTGTGGGTGTGGAGCAAAAAGGTATTAAAGTGGATTCTTTTGGAATAGAAGAATCTCTTAAAGAATTGGCTCAACTAGCTGACACAGCAGGTCTTCAGGTTGTTGGCTCTACCTATCAAAAGTGAGTATGTCGTGGGTTTTTCTATTGCATAATGTGGTTACGCTATAAGTTACAATGTGCATATACTTAAGACAGTACAATTAGCTAATTGGAGATTTATATTATCTGTGCATGCCCTAAATCTTCCAGTTAACATGTTATATATCTCTGTCACTCTGTGTGTGATTGTGAAAGTTGGGGAAGGGTTGGAGAATTGAATGGGGGAGTGTCGCTTAAAACGATAATGTAATTCTTTAAATTAGAGCTTAAGGGGTTTTAGTGAGTTGATTTTGTATCTGTTGTAATTCTTTGCAAGTGAAAAGCACTTGTAACTTAAGGCATGTTATGTGTCATCTGGGAGCATGGCCTCCAAAGCAGCTACAATTCAATTAAAATCTTTAGTACCTCCGTTTTAACTTGTTAAGATAGAGATTGTTAAACAAAACTCAGATTACTTTACCAAGTGTGCATTAACTTATGAGTTTTTGTCATATAGTTTACATATGTCTTCTATCAAATACATTTCTCCTTTATTTTTGCTTTGTGAGAACTACTGGTCTGCATGGTAAATAACATCAACACCTTTGTATGAATTAGGCTTGCTGCTCCAAATCCAAGAACATATATTGGCTCAGGAAAGGTTTTTGAGATCAAGAGTGCAATTCATGCATTTGATGTTAAAACAGTGATATTTGATGATGACCTCTCACCAGGGTAAGAATGAAACACTTTTTTATTCAGAAACTGACAGTTGGTGTACATGCATTGTCTAGCTATCAACATTTCACTAGTAGAAAAATTAAAATAGGCACCCCTCCTTTAACACCAGTTCGTATTTGGTTATGAATCTAAATGTCGTATGATATATGAAAGGAATGGTGTCCTTCTAACAAGTGTATTCTTCCGATAGAGGGTTCAGAATTGTTACAGAGTTAATTCTTCAGTAAGATCAAGTGATCGGAATGCCTAGGTGGAGGCCGCTTTCGATCCGTAATATCGAGGTACAATTGATATTACAGCTTAATCTTAACTGAACCCTTCGGGTCGAACCCAATCGAATCACCGATCCGAGACGACGAATTAATCCGAAAGGATTTAATGAGTCGACAGAGTTTTACGAATACAAACGTCGGATATCGAGCCTAGGGCGTCGAGACCAAGCGTCGCAAAATCATTAAGCGACAAGTATGAACATAGCCCCAACACCACACTGGCCTAGCCATGTGGATGCTAGGCTAGTTCGAGCTAGCATGGCTAGGTGCAAGCCTAAGCACACTAGGTGTGCTAGGCGCACCATCGCTGGCCTATCGCAAGCACTAGGCGCACCGGGAGCACCAGGAGCACCTGGCAGCATATCGCAAGCACTAGGCGCACCAGGAGCACATGGCAGCCTATCGCAAGTAATAGGAGCACAAGACGCACCAGGCAGCCCATCGCAGCATGCGTGCTGGCTTGCGTGCTAGCCTTCGCATGGCAGCACCAAGCAGCGCACCATGCGTGTGCGAGGGCCTAGGCGCCAGCACATTGCTAGACCACGCACAGCAGCCTAGCCTCGCTACGCACCAAGGTTGTTGGGGGATGCGTGGGTGTGCATGAGATGCTAGTGCATGTGTGTGTGCGAGAGGTGCTGCGAGGCTGATGTGTATGGTGCGAGGCAAAGGGCCAACATGCGTGGCTCGCTAGCAGCACGCATGCTTGCTATGCGAGCATGTGTGAGAGGTGCAGCGGGGATGCGTGTGGTGCACGAGATGCTGGGGCCGGTGCCAGCATAATGTGCTAGTAGCGATAGGCGCTAGCACAAAGCACCAGCACTAGCACCAGCATAGCCCAACACCAGCGTGCACTGGCTAGCTAGGATGCTGGGCAGCAAGGCAGTGCTAGCTGGAAGCACTAGCTGGCACGCTAGCTAGAAGCCAGCTAGCCCTCCTTGACCCGGTTTTGGGGACCAATCAAGGGCCTTGGGGAGCAAGGCAAATGGTCCCCCTTCTAGCCTTGGCCATCACTCATTTGCATATGATTAAGCCACTTTTTGCAATGTAATTAAGTTGATTATTTATTTAATTTGGAATTAAATAAATTGTTGATTTTTACCAACTCTCCCACATTGATGGGAGATTGGAAATCAAGGGTGCATTTCCCTATAAATACCAAAGGCATGGTATTGGGAAATACATAACCTTGAGTGGAATTGAAAAGGCAACTCTTATAATTAGAGTAAACCTTTGATTCGTAAAACTCATAGTTTTGTTTTGTCCGGGTCTTGACTAACCTTCAAGACTTGGGACGCTCGGGTCGGGTCGAGGGTACGATCCGTCGGAGATCTCGTAGTTTCGGAATTTTGAAGTAAGAGCTCTTCGGGAGCGAAGCACGCAACAAAGGTGTAATTCTTGTTCTTAATCTTGTTTGATTAAGTTTATTATGCTTGTTAATTGCTTTAATTAAGGGGCGGGTCTTGGGGGTTTCCTTCCGCGTAGTGTCGGGTCACTACGAAACCCTACACCGGTATCGGAGCTACGCTCCTTTTAATTTTTGCAATTAATTTTTTTAATTAAGGTGTTTTAATAGAATTTTTTTTTTCTGGTTCATGTTCTTCTAATTAGATTAGATGCTCGTTTTAATTAATTTTAAAACTCGATTTTATTCTCGATTTGGCTATCGAACCCCGATTTTGGCTCAAAATAGGGATTTTTGGGTGGAATTGACATCTAAGAATAGATTCAACCCTTTTTATGGGCTGTCCAGAAGCCAAATTCGAACCAGAAACCCATTTTTTCTAGGGTTTTTCGTTTTTTAACGAAAATTTTAATTCTTTTTAAGCCTTGATTAATGCAAGCATTACAAGGTTAGATTAAATGCACATTTGCATCACTAATCTACTGGTTTTAAAAATATCCTTAAGCATAATAATGGAGTTTTTATTAGTGCTTAAGTTAATATTACAGTTTTTCACATAAACTTGTTTTTCACAAATTTTGCAAATAAATTGCAATAAAATGTGAAAACTTGTTGTGAACTTGTAATTTTTAAGTTCTTATAATGTTAAAGTTCTAATCTTTAAAGGTTTAAATGATTGGAACCCTAACCCTAAATTCCATGTTGAACAAAGTTTGGATTTTTCATGTTTGGTTGATTAAAATCCATCAAGTTCAAATACTTGTGAGTAAAATTTGATTAATCTTCATATTGGAAGATGAAATCTTGGTATTTTACACAAGTATGAAAGTTGGAAAATTTTTCATTAGATGATTAGTCTATTTTTCCAACTCCCTTTTGTCAAATCCATTATTATTTTGCATATTGGCAAGATTAATGATGGACATAGCTCATTTTATTTTAAGCATAAAAAAAGACCTAATTTTGTTCAAAAATGAAATTTTTGATGATTTAGGCTTGTGCACCATTAAAAAAAGAATTTAATTAAGTTGGACTTATTTTATTTTCTTGTTGCCCTAAATTAATTCTAAAATAAATTTAGATTAATTTTATATCGCACATAAATCGGGATTAAAATCCTGAGATATATTCACGGAAATCGAGGCAAAAACCCCAAGTGTCACCAAGGCTAGCCAGGCTGCCCAGCAGCCCGCATGTGGCTGCCTATGGTGCGCACAAGGGAAAGCCTCGTAGCGTGCTGCTGCGCATTGATGTGTGGCGAGGAGGCAGGTGCGTAGTGCGTGTGCTGGTGCATGGGCCTTAGGCTGCTGGTGTGCTTGTGCTGCTGTTGGGTAGTGAGGCAGCAAGCCCCAGCCCCACTGCAGCCTGCACCGGCAAGCAGCTAGCAAGGCAGGTTGTGCTAGGCATGCCTGCTAGCTGCCAGCACTACGCACCATGGCATAGAGCCATGGGCTGCCTAGCAGCCATGGTGCGCACCCACTAGGGGTTTTGTGGGAAGTTATTGCTTAATGTTTGAGCTATGATTTTGCAATTTTTCCAATTTTAATAATTTTAAGTAATTGTTTTAACGAGGTTAAAAAACCTCGATTTTCGGTCTTGCAAAAATTTGACAAATTATGGGTTATGCCGACTTAATTAATCGGATTAATTAAGTATGGATGCGGAATTTAGTGGGAGCTTAATTAATTGCGTGAGCATTTTGCATTTAGAAATAATGGATTAAACAACTTTAACTAGTTTTAATTAAGCGCGTTAATCGGATTAACCACCTAAGTTAGTTACTAGTTTTGTGTGTTTAATTATGTATTTCGTAAAATTGCATGGGCCATTCACAAATAGTGAATGGGTGAATGAAAGATTGTTTTCAAAACAGGTTATTGAATATGGCAACTAGTGGGGCCCGACTAGGATAGAAAATACGGACTGCGTTCCGTTATGTATTTTTGTAAATCTAAATACGGTCTGAAAACCGTTAAGTATTTTTGTACTATTAGATTAATCTTAGTCATTCTAGCTAGCTTTTATTTTGGCCAAGATGTCTCAAGACGGCGCTTCGATGAAGACAAGCCAAGATGAAGACCCATGAAAATTGAAGATTTTAAGGGGTCATGCTAGTTGTCAAATGCATCTATTTTATGCTTTATATATTGTTGTTATATATGATTGCTAGATGCATGTCTATGATTTTTATATGTTGCGACGATTAGTTAAGTTCACTTAAATCAACCAACATAGAAACCCTAGGTTTCTTAATAATATTGAGCTAAAATTTGTCGTTCCAAGAACAACACTTACAAAACTAATGCGCGTACGTGATGGACTACGCCAAAGCGAGACATCACTACTTCCCTAGGAACGTAAGGTATACTAGGTATACGAGTTGTCTTGGTTAAGCTTAACGATATCAGTAAGGAGCCCTTAGATGTCATGGCAAAAGAGATAAAATGTCAAGGATGCATTAGATGCGACATTTTATCAAACCGAGAGTAGCTTGGAGCTATTAGCAATTGGATTGCTTACCTTAAGATATTTAATGATTAAGACAAGCCAAAGCATGCTTAACCATTTCTTGATCTTTGGGATCTCGGAATCATTTTATTCTCTCCTAAAAGGGACAATTTTATAAATGCATGGATAAAATGCTCAATAAGATTGAGAATATGCATGAACGCTTTTAAATTTCAACTTATTGATTATATGAATGGTTTTTCATTTCAAATTATTTCAATTGTAGAACAATGTCTGCAAGTAACTCAAACAACAACCATGTGTGCCCGGAACTCCCCGAAAAGTTAGCTGTCAAGCTTAACTTAACAAACCTTGAATAATGGGAAGAAAAACTCAGGAAAACTCTCCGGAGTTGTTCTAAGGAGTATGTTCTGGATACTTTCCTCCCAACCCTCTCTACCAAGAAACACTTGAGTAACGAAACTTATTGTGCATGGTCAAAAGATTGAAAATTAGTGTCACAGCTCATGGCTAACTCCATCCCGGAAGAATGGAAAGAAAAACTTCCATTCTCTTTTCCGGACTTGTTCCTTGGAGGACTAAGGGATGTTGTCGGTGTGAGATTCTCTAAGAGTTTCAACGACAACAATGATGGACTCTTGTTTGAAGTGACTAGGTCATTTACAGAAATGAATGTGAAGCCATCGGATCAAGGTTGCCTTGCGAAAGAGAGGTACCATCTTTGGTCTACAGTCTGCAACACCAAGTTGAGACCGGGTATGCCCCTTCGACCCCATGTGGCAAGAATGACTAAGCTCTTCAAGCACATGGAACTCCTCGAAATTCCACTAGAAGATGGAATGGCTGGTCATATTATGCTCACTTCACTCCACTCAGGATATGATGCACTAAGGGCATATATTTCTGAAACGAGGGAGACACATTCTTTGAAGAATGTGGTGGAGCTACTTCACCGAGCCAACTCATTTGGGGCAACCAAAAGACCGTCAAGAAGGAGGGATTTCAAGGTTAAGGCATAGATGTGTT